ATGAACTACTCTTAATTGTAATACTTCCTATCACAGAAATAATATAGTCTATTAAATTAACACCACAGCCTGCAATATTCAGACAATCCAGGGACTGACATTATGAGCATTGCTTACAACCTGTTGTACAGCCCTTCTAGATGTGCTGTTAGGGCAGCTGGTGACAGCCCTTCTAGATGTGCTGTTAGGGCAGCCCTTCTAGATGTGCTGTTAGGGCAGCTGGTGACAGCCCTTCTAGATGTGCTGTTAGGGCAGCTGGTGACAGCCCTTCTAGATGTGCTGTTAGGGCCACTGGCGACAGCCCTTCTAGATGTGCTGTTAGGGCAGCTGGTGACAGCCCTTCTAGATGTGCTGTTAGGGCAGCTGGTGACAGCCCTTCTAGATGTGCTGTTAGGGCAGCCCTTCTAGATGTGCTGTTAGGGCAGCTGGTGACAGCCCTTCTAGATGTGCTGTTAGGGCAGCTGGTGACAGCCCTTCTAGATGTGCTGTTAGGGCCACTGGCGACAGCCCTTCTAGATGTGCTGTTAGGGCAGCTGGTGACAGCCCTTCTAAATGTGCTGTTAGGGCAGCTGGCTTCTAGATGTGCTGTTAGACAGCCCTTCTAGATGTGCTGTTAGGGCAGCTGGTGACAGCCGTTCTAAATGTGCTGTTAGGGCAGCTGGCGACAGCCCTTCTAGATGTGCTGTTAGGGCAGCTGGTGACAGCCCTTCTAGATGTGCTGTTAGGACAGGTGGCGACAGCCCTTCTAGATGTGCTGTTAGGGCAGCTGGCGACAGCCCTTCAAGATGTGCTGTTAGGGCAGCTGGCAACAGCCCTTCTAGATGTGCTGTTAGGGCAGCTGGTGACAGCCCTTCTAGATGTGCTGTTAGGGCAGCTGGTGACAGCCCTTCTAGATGTGCTGTTAGTTAGGGCAGCTTCTAGATGTGCAACAGCTGGCTTCTAGATGTGCTGTTAGGGCAGCTGGTGACAGCCCTTCTAGATGTGCTGTTAGGGCAGCTGGTGACAGCCCTTCTAGATGTGCTGTTAGGGCAGCCCTTGTAGATGTGCTGTTAGGGCAGCTGGCAACAGCCCTTTTAGATGTGCTGTTAGGGCAGCTGGTGACAGCCCTTCTAGATGGTGACAGCCCTTCTAGATGTGCTGTTAGGGCAGCTGGTGACAGCCCTTCTAGATGTGCTGTTAGGGCCGCTGGCGACAGCCCTTCTAGATGTGCTGTTAGGGCAGCTGGCGACAGCCCTTCTAGATGTGCTGTTAGGGCAGCTGGTGACAGCCCTTGTAGATGTGCTGTTAGGGCCGCTGGCGACAGCCCTTCTAGATGTGCTGTTAGGGCAGCTGGCGACAGCCCTTCTAGATGTGCTGTTAGGGCAGCTGGTGACAGCCCTTCTAGATGTGCTGTTAGGACAGGTGGCGACAGCCCTTCTAGATGTGCTGTTAGGGCCGCTGGCGACAGCCCTTCAAGATGTGCTGTTAGGGCAGCTGGCAACAGCCCTTCTAGATGTGCTGTTAGGGCAGCTGGTGACAGCCCTTCTAGATGTGCTGTTAGGGCAGCTGGTGACAGCCCTTCTAGATGTGCTGTTAGGGCAGCTGGTGACAGCCCTTCTAGATGTGCTGTTAGGGCAGCTGGTGACAGCCCTTCTAGATGTGCTGTTAGGGCAGCTGGCAACAGCCCTTCTAGATGTGCTGTTAGGGCAGCTGGCAACAGCCCTTCTAGATGTGCTGTTAGGGCAGCTGGTGACAGCCCTTCTAGATGTGCTGTTAGGGCAGCTGGTGACAGCCCTTCTAGATGTGCTGTTAGGGCAGCCCTTGTAGATGTGCTGTTAGGGCAGCTGGCAACAGCCCTTTTAGATGTGCTGTTAGGGCAGCTGGTGACAGCCCTTCTAGATGTGCTGTTAGGGCAGCTGGTGACAGCCCTTCTAGATGTGCTGTTAGGGCAGCTGGCGACAGCCCTTCTAGATGTGCTGTTAGGGCAGCTGGCGACAGCCCTTCTAGATGTGCTGTTAGGGCAGCTGGTGACAGCCCTTGTAGATGTGCTGTTAGGGCCGCTGGCGACAGCCCTTCTAGATGTGCTGTTAGGGCAGCTGGCGACAGCCCTTCTAGATGTGCTGTTAGGGCCGCTGGCGACAGCCCTTCTAGATGTGCTGTTAGGGCAGCTGGTGACAGCCGTTCTAAATGTGCTGTTAGGGCAGCTGGCGACAGCCCTTCTAGATGTGCTGTTAGGGCAGCTGGCGACAGCCCTTCTAGATGTGCTGTTAGGGCAGCTGGTGACAGCCCTTCTAGATGTGCTGTTAGGGCAGCTGGTGACAGCCCTTCTAGATGTGCTGTTAGGGCAGCTGGCGACAGCCCTTCTAGATGTGCTGTTAGGGCAGCTGGTGACAGCCCTTCTAGATGTGCTATTAGGGCCGCTGGCAACAGCCCTTCAAGATGTGCTGTTAGGGCACAGCCTTCCACACTTGTATATGTTACATAACATTCCTAACTGATTCATCATCCAAAGGTTGAATTGTGTCCAATAGGTCAGTCCTTGCAGTACTTCAGTGGTACTATGGGACATCAACTGGAAGGAGAGCCTCGTGATAAGGATTCAGCCATTTACCACTTTCCTGATCCACAAACAACGGCTGCTCCAATGGACCAAGAATCATAATCTGGAAATCAAACTGATAGTGACAGGATCCCGACAGGACCGAGAGAGTGTGGCATCTGAGAATACTGAGATACCCAAACCTGTACTAAATCCATAGCCAACATGATTTCCAAAACTCAAATTACAAGTTATCTTACACCACAGTAATCCTTTGAAACAGACATAGCACAATTCACAGTTCACAGAGATTCATTCAATTCTACCTTAGAAACTGGTTTACCTCAAGTATTGATTTTTTTATCAAGACATTCTTCTAGCGCTCTGATTATTTGTAATAATGTAAACGGCAATCAGTTTTCAGATGAAACAGGTAGTTCTTGAATACCGGTACCACATTTGCTATCACTCATTAAATTCACTGCAGTCAAAACAAAATATTTCATTTCCGGTTCCACCAACACAGTTTAACTACAATTTAGGAAGGGACAGTGAAAACATGTTTGTTTTTAATATGGAAAAAAATTGCAAATGAATTATCTGTAACAGTAAGTAGTACCAGTTTTCTGGTATTCACCTGAAACTTGTTTTAAATGAAAGTAAACTGATGTGGATGCCATGCTTTGTGCGCATTGATACAAGTAACATGTATGAAGTACCATGGCAGGTGGACTGGGAACACACTGTTACTTAGCACTATTTGGTAAGTGAAGCACAAGTCTCTTATGCAAAGCTTTAACGTTGCTATATAACATGAATTTTGAACACACTGTTTTGAAAATGATACATATGAGTTACTTTTACAATACAATATAATATGCATTACAAAATTGAAACTTATATTTCATACATCATTTCCAAAAACACAAACTCTGAGGATTTAGTTGTCTGCCAAATATGGCAAACCAGAGACCATATAATAGAGGGACGGCCCTCCCCAACAGTTTATCACTAACCATCAGCGCTACGGCCTGGCATGTAACTGATACACATCGACACCCTGCTGCTAACTTCCCTCTACCAGTACACATGCGCAACAGATGCTCAGACATTCGCAAATGAGCACTCTGGTAACCACGTAAACAATATTGCGTAATATCCGGGCCGAGAGTTAATTCCCTTAGCGGTATTTCACCGGCTGCGATTGACAGTTAAACATAACATGGACACCTCCAATAAACTGATTACAATAATCTTAATTTTTATCCCGCGAATTTATAAAGAATGTGCAGATTTGCACATCTATTATATGGTCTCTGGGCAAACTCTGGAAAATTGAGAGTCCTTCACTGGCAAGACTTTTGTCTCATGTTTTATGTGGTACCTTACGTCACGTTTGGAATCTTGACAATTGGTAACGGCCCTGATGTTGGCCTGGTCATAACATGGATCCTGAATGATGAATGATGGGTGATGGCTTAACTAATGGAAATATGACCTCTTTCCAACAACCCGGGCAGACACTACAAGGACAGCAACAATCCAGGCAGACACTACGAGGACAGCAACAATCCAGGCAGACACTACGAGGACAGCAACAATCCAGGCAGACACTACGAGGACAGCAACAATCCAGGCAGACACTACGAGGACAGCAACAACCCGTGCAGACACTACGAGGACAGCAACAACCCGCGCAGACACTACGAGGACAGCAACAACCCGCGCAGACAGTACGAGGACAGCAACAATCCAGGCAGACACTACGAGGACAGCAACAACCCGCGCAGACAGTACGAGGACAGCAACAATCCAGGCAGACACTACGAGGACAGCAACAACCCGCACAGACACTACAAGGACAGCAACAATCCGGGCAGACACTACGAGGACAGCAACAATCCAGGCAGACACTACGAGGACAGCAACAACCCACGCAGACACTACAAGGACAGCAACAATCAGGGCAGACACTACGAGGACAGCAACAACCCACGCAGACACTACAAGGACAGCAACAATCCGGGCAGACACTACGAGGACAGCAACAACCCACGGAGACACTACGAGGACAGCAACAATCCGGGCAGACACTACGAGGGTGTGCAAAGAACAGACCTGACACAACAATGGCACATGATGTCAAAAATGGCACTAGATCATAGTAGATGTGGAAATTCTCAAAGATATTTTACAGCTTCTTTTCAATAACAATTGAAAGACAGTCTAAGCCATGTCAACTAAAAAGGTGTATGTCATTATCCTGTAAATCGCATGTGTTAAAGTTGACCATTCCCTCTAGCCTGTGCCTTGTTCAATGATCTTATCTTAATATTTTTTTATGAACACTAAGATTGTACTTACTTTATCTTGATAGATATCTTTCCATTAACTGTCTTTCCATGGTTGCTAACAAGTCAAAGTCAGTTTTATACCTACAAAGAAAAACCTTGACACTGTTGACCTGGTCATTTTGCAAGTAAACGCCTGATGAGAAACCACAACTTGTCCTGCATTCCATACAGATGTGCAGACAGTAGACACAGTCAAATACTACCAATACACAAAACATCCTCAAGATGTATACATCTAAAAACATAATCCATCATGGATATACAGGTTTACAATGAGTGAATAATAGCATTTACGCAGTGGTGATGAAAGAAGGTACTTGAACCAAGTGTAACCAAACATTCATTGCAATCCAACAGTCCAGATGAAATACATGAATACACTGACAGAACACCATGGGAGCTCCAGCTACCTGATGGTCAGGGCCCTCCTGCTGGGAGCTCCAGCTACCTGATGGTCAGGGCCCTCCTGCTGGGAGCTCCAGCTACCTGATGGTCAGGGCCCTCCTGATGGGAGCTCCAGCTACCTTATGGTCAGGGTCCTCCTGATGGGAGTTCCAGCTACCTTATGGTCAGGGTCCTCCTGCTGGGAGTTCCAGCTACCTGATGGTCAGGGTCCTCCTGATGGGAGCTCCAGCTACCTGATGGTCAGGGTCCTCCTACTGGGAGCTCCAGCTACCTTATTGTCAGGGTCCTCCTGATGGGAGTTCCAGCTACCTGATGGTCAGGGCCCTCCTGATGGGAGCTCCAGCTACCTTATGGTCAGGGCCCTCCTGATGGGAGTTCCAGCTACCTGCTGGGGCTAATACTTTCCCCTTCATCAGGTGAAGAAACATTGTGTTGTAAATAATAAAGATGGTGCACATCCATATCAAGTGTCTTGTATTACCCTACCAACTTCTAAATACCTATCAAACATCTGATCTACATGATCCTGATTTCCCCAAAACTGACCCCGATCACCAACACAGCATGTGTGGCAACTAGCACTCACATCATCCACAGCCGGAAGCATGTTTCATGCAGTATAAACTCTGAAATAAAAACACCATTGGACCACAATCTAAGTCAAATTTAAGGCTATTTTCAAAATATATTCACTGTAGAATTAAAGGCAAGAAACTCACATTCTAGTCCTTGTGAGTATTTTGTGCAAAGGGATGCTTTTGTTTGTAGATATGGATTCATGAAAAAAACTGACAACTAAACTTTACAATAGCTCTCTCAAATTAGTGTCAGGAAATATAATTTTCATTTACACACGAAATACACAAGTTTAATTATTTGTGGTCCACTTCTAAATTATGTTTCCGAAAGTTCAGCATAATTTTAGCATTTTGTTTCCTTCTCTGATATTTTTCGTTAAGCTCTATGATCGATATCAATATCCAACCTTACAACCTCTCAGCATACTAATGCCTACCCAAATATCTCCTTCATTACAGTATTTCAATAGGCAAGGTTTACCAGAGGGGAAAACACTCACAGAATGATCATTTTCTCAGGCAGTAAAATTTCCAAAAATACGCCTCCTAATTGTTCTTTTTTCACAAAAACAAAATCTTGTCATCCACGTAACTTATAGTAACCATGCATGAGAACAAAGAACAGCCTGACTTTAGCCATGATTCTAACCCTACTCATGTTCCATCTATTCTTTATCAAGTATCAAGAATAGATTTGGGCTAAAAGATTTACAAGTTTTGAGTTTGAAGAAATGATTTTGTTGGCTAATTACTGTTCTTGCATCTTACTCCTTGTGGGTTATTTCTGATTTAAAAGTGATAGATGCTGTTTTGCAGTTGAACATTACGTCTGCTATACCGAGCCATGTTTAGGATTTGAACTGAGACTGAGGTCGCTGTGGGGTACATCTCCGTATGACCGTGACAAAAGTCAACAGATAAATATTGTTAACATTAATGAGCTGAGCTCAACATGGTTTAAGGCTGGCTGCATTTCTAATGTTTCCAAACAGGGTACAAATAAGGTCCATCAAAATACATGATATTCACAAAGTGGCTCACAAACAGCCTTCACAATAATGACGCTGTATCATAGCATCCTAAAATATTCTACCGGTAAATACCATACAGTGAGAAATATTTCTGAGCAAACAAGATGTAATCCTTAAGCTTAGCTGTAGGTTACAAAGCACTTATGTCACAATATATATATATATATCTATCTTTATGTTTGACTATCAGTGGACCACAAAACAGGACTTGTCAATGGTCCTCTCCTACAGCACTGTATGGACATTTTCATGGAAAATGTTCCAAGTCTCTGCAAAGCCCAAATAACAGGCTCATGTACCTAACTTGACTTGTACTCATCCAGATCTGTCAAATCAATGTGGTGCCCAGAGTGACTATAGTTTGACTGGGCAGCCATTGTGGCCTGTTTAATGGCTATCCGATATGGACCACGCTTTTTTTTATTAAAGCGGAGTTTAAAATCCTCTAGAAATGGAAAAAGTTCTGAGCACTGCATATGAGACATAGTTGACGAACCAAACCAGGTCACATGGGCTATTTGTGCAATGACAACACCATTGTCTTTCTGGGTGACTGTAATGGACAGGATCCTCCCTGGCCACCATGGAAATCCCTGAATTTTCCCCCACACAATGTCCCCAACATGAAGCTGTCGACCAGTCTCTGTCACACATTTCACCACGGTCTGAGTCTGAATTTTCATCATGAGTGGTTTCATATTTTTCACATCTGAATCTGTCTGTGGTTCCTCAACACTGATTTCCCCCATCATGGCACCCAGCCCTGGTGGGCCATATGCCATATCGTCATGCAAGTCAGTCGGGTCATCGGAGGGTTCACTTGCGGAACTTATCGGACTGTAGGGGCCCACTCCAACAATCATGGGAGGAGGGGAAGCTTCGTATGTCAAAGATGGCTCTTCATCCGGAAACCTTTGTTCCACAGGGAACTGTTCAACTTGAGGGAAGTGTTCTTCTGGTGGGAATTGCTGTTCTGGCACAAAATTTTCTTCTGGAAAGTTTTCCTCAGGTGGAAATCTTTCCTCTGGAGGAAATATGTCACCTTGGGAAATTTTCTCATCTGGAGGAAAACTTTCTTCTGAGGGAAACCTTTCTTCTGGGGTAAATCTGAATTCTTTAGGACTTGCTTCAACACGTGAAAGACCTCTATTGTTGTTCCATGTGTAGAGTAATCGTGGACGTGGGTGTCGAACCTCTTCTTGAGTTGGTACAGAATTCTCATCCTCATCTTCTCCATTGCTAATCTGATCTACCCAGTCACTGATACTTTTGTTTTCCATTTCCAAGGATTCTTTGTCTAAAGAATCTTTGTCAAAAGTTTCTTTCAAATCTTTCTCTTCATTAGCATTCCAATCATTAATAATCACATTTGTGTTCGATTCCAAGGGTCGACTCTCATAAGGACTAAGATGGCGATGTTTGTGTTTTCGCTTGTGCTTCCTATGATGTTTGTCTGACTTTTCATCTAAACTCTGGGCTCTGTTTTCATGGTCACCTGATTTGTTTCGCACTCTTTCCTTTGACTTTTTCATGGCTTTTTTCAGTTTCTTGTGCATAACATAATTCCTATTTTCTACTGGAGGATCAACATGCTTTTCTTGAATTTCTTCTGAGCTACTTTCAACATGATCATCAACTTCAGCACCAGGCAGACGGGGAGGTATTTTGAGCACAGCCCCATCACCAAAGGATATCTTAATAATAGGAGTTGCTTTGGGATTCGGAGCTTTTTGTTCCAATATCAGTTTGTACCTGTGGTTTAACTGTAGCACTGTCTACTTCATCACTCTGCTCTGGATGCTCATCTTCTTTCTGTGATCTGCTTTCACAATTCTGAGCCCCATTTTGAGCAGTCTTTGTTTCACTTCTAACGTCCTCTAACTTATACAATCTCACTTCTGGAAATGACTCTTTTGCCTGGGCAATTTTATTGTCCACAGAACTACGCGTTTGTCTCTCTGGCCTCTCTCGTGTTTTTGCACTTGTAGATTTTGAAGGTGCAGGCTTTTTCACCTCATTTTCATTTGTGTCTTCTTGTTGATATTTTCTTTTTCGTAAACCCCATTTTAGTGTGACCATAGGCCGATTTAAATGTCGTGAAGGACTCAGTTGAGGCTTTGTGATATTTGTAACTGGTTTTGATTGTTTTGGGGAAGAAGATTTCACAGCTGACACTTTGCCATTTTCATGAATCATGTTTTTACATTTAGAACATAGTGTCTGACGCGGTCTAAGACGAATATCACGCACTGCTTTGCTGCGTACTGGTCGCAGGTTGCCTTTAGGATGTACTAACACAACTTTTTCTGTCAATGAAGTTGGATCATTATTGTATGTGTATCTATGAGTAGATGCTGACACACTAATTTGTCCATTCTCATTTTCTCCAGGCTCATTTGAGGTGCTGTTGACGCCCTTTTCTTCAGATTTATCAGGAGTTTTGGGTAATGAAGAGAAGCATACGCCGTGGGGAATGTTTCTGAAATAAATGAAAACAATAAACTTGAAAATCGGTCACTACTTGTTAACAGAATGCCCAAAATTCTAAATCCAGTTTGACAGATGAGTAAAAAATCGGTCGTAAATTCCGTATTTTTGACCAACTTTAACGTATTAATTTAAGCATACCTCTTACTGCAATCCAATAATACTCCTCGAAATTCTTTATTTCCACTTTTCAAGGTCACAACGAATACATCATCTAATGCTTCTTCGATCAATACAGGCACTTTATCCCCTTTCGAAATGCGGTGGTGTTTCCGTTTTAGGTCGGCCATATTCTAAGGGGATTTTCGCCATTAGCAGGTACTTGCTACTAGTATCCTAACAACCAGTCGTAGTCCATGAAAGACCTGAAATGGTTTGCAGAACACAGTAAATTAATTATTCGCCTCATCTCAAGACAGTGCACTTGGTGTTTAAAACTTTAAAACCTAAAACTATACGCCATACTGTAGTAATCGTGCACATTGCTTCAAGTCAGTCTGAACAAATGAGTGAGTGAGTTAAAATTTAACGTCGCGTCGGCATTATCCCAGCGGCCCGAATAAATGAACATTGCAGCGAAGATGAAAGCTGTGAACAATCGAAGGCACAACATTGTGTGCTTTTCAAAGACAATATGAACCCTTGTTCATTATGCTTAGTAGTTATGGGAGTTAAACATACTGGCCAATTAGTAGACCTTTGAATAGAACCTCACTAGTCGTTTTAGAAAAAGCAATAGAAATATCATCCATTTGTATTGTCATGTTTGTACACGTGAGAAATTTCACATTCAGTGAGGAGAATTCAAGAAACAACAGAATGAAGAAAGGTCAGAGAACCCTATAATTTATTATTTAACGAAGCATGTGCTTGGCGAAGTTAAAACCGAATGACAATTTTTAAGAAACTGTTCATAACTTTGGGATCGGCCGACCGACGAGGAAAACATTAAATGAACACTCATGTAAATTTTGATGGATCGGGAACAAAAGTTATATACCATCAAAACGTAAAACGTAAAAAAATTCACCGGACATGATGATGAAATGCACTTTATACACCTCCTAGTTTGCCTAGGTCTCCTGCAATAAACTGTTGCATAAGATATTGTGACTTGTTTGTTTATCCTTGAAACAATAACACTGATTTCAATCTTCGAATTGTCAGTCAGTCGAATTTCATATGACAAATTCTTTACATTGAGGGTTTGGTGTAGAGAACATTTTGTAATGCTTAATTTCGTAATATATCCGGATAATAATCTAATTTATGTAACATTTTGACCGGAAAAGGAAAAAAAATAACATTTTTTTCGGATCCGAGGTTATCCGAAAATGTTTGTTGCTTGTATTTCAGACTGTCATCAGTAGTAGTTGTGTTTAAAGTAGTACAATTTTAGAGATCCTTGGTTCTGATTTTATAGCTCATAACACAATTCCTGGAAACTTTTGAACCATTTTACTTCGGTTATTGTTTCATTTCATAGCTAGTCCTACCCTAGAATGTATTAGCATGCATTCTAAACAGCAGATTTAGTTTGTAAACACGTGGGAATTTCCAGCTGAGAAAGCCAAGGGACGCAACTCTTTTAGCGTAAAAATAGTTGGAAACTCGTTATCATGCAAGATCCCTTGCGTTCGTTTCTCAACATGCCCGGACAAACAAGAATATAATGTTATGACATGTATTAACATTTTTTTTTGTTGCCTGTGTTTTATCTATTCATTGTTATTATTTTGGTTGATCGGAGGTTATAATTAAGTTAGTCTCTACACAAAAAAGACAACCAAAATGTTTATCATATAATTTTCCTTTGATGGTTATATGTAAATACCAACTATGGCAAAAACCGTAAAGAACAAGCAATTAAGTTAAAAAAGAAATATATTTTCGTTTCTTACACTGTATGCACATGTCAATAAATTGTCCCTGATTTTATTTACAAAGGGCAAATTAATCAATGTAATAAACAATGTAATCTTCTTAAGAAGTATATTGATGTCTAATTGAAAATGGATGCTAAGGATCTGTCAAAATGTTATGACTCATCTGCAAGAAATCTGTTTGGATACATATCCTTTGGTCATTGACACTGAACTGCATAACATTTATGAATGACTTAATTTCAAGATAGCAAGCTGTATGATGATTAACTAATTTGCTATAGTAATAGTTGTTTAAATGTACTAACACTTTTATCAAGGAAGCTTTTTAACCTAAGATCCCTAACGAAATAATTGGCTATCAATGAAGTATCATCTTTCATAACTCCAGAATCACAAAGTGGTATAATGAGGGAGTAATGATGCTGCAATATACCATCTTTGTCTGCCAGAATACCTTGTCTGAAGGAGTTCATGTAATGCATAGGCAAATAGGCAAGTTCAATCCATGTCTAAATCCAGGCCAAGTCATCAGGTTTGGCACTGGACTTAATAAGCTTGAAAGCTGTTGTTTGTTTGTTGTATAACGCTGCACTCAGCAATATTCCAATCTGTAAATAACCAAGTCTGGAGCAGACAATCCAGTGATCAACAGCATTGATCTACACAGTTGGGATACGATAACGTGTCAACAAGCATGACCCAGAGATGCCAACCCTATTTTGGGCCTAAGTGTAATACTAGAGCTCAAAAAAGTGTAATCTGGACCTAAAAAGTGTAATACTTGTCTGCCGACCGCTTCAACATGGTACACGTTTTTACGAAAGAAAGATTCTAGACAGAAACACGTGACCAATCATTATGAAACTCCATACATTGGAAATTGTTGGTCATGTGACTCAAAATACTTTAATTCCTTGCAAGTTTATTGGAATGAGTGCGATGCTGAGAGTAAGCGATTCCTATCGATGCAAGGCCATTTCTGCACCCCTGCACCTGTGCTTTACGAAACACTTCCCTGAGAAATTGTACCCACTTTATTGATTTTCGTAAAACGAGTAGAAAAGTGTAATTTTCGCAGATTAAGTGTAATGGCTTAATTTACTGGTCAAAATCGTAATAATTACACCTAAAGCGTAAGGGTTGGCATCTCTGCTAGACCACTCAATCCAGTTAGTCACCTTTTATGACACGTGTGGGTTGCTGAAGACCAATTCTAACCTGGATCTTCCTGGGTGTTTGGATAAGTCACAAACAGGTCTAGATGGGAGGTCCCATGGTAATGTTGTACTGTTGAATATTTCTGGATATACTGATCCCCATAGTTCTGGCTAGCATAGTCAGTTTCCCTGGATATGTCTCCATCTGGAGATGTCTTGTGTTGGGATAGTCTCTGTTGGATGTATCAGGAAATCCAGATAATACATTAACTGAATTAAAGTCAGATTTGCTCTGCCTTAGATGAGTGCCACCTGAAACTTGGAGTGGGGCAGTGAAGTAGCCAGGTGGATGAAGTGTTCTTGTCATATCAAAGGTCTGGGTTCAGTTCCCTCCACAGGTACAAAGCTAATTTCTTGTGTCCCCTGCCATTCTAATGTTTCAATATTGCTAAAAGCAGTGTAAAACAAAATGGGAAGAATTTGTAATGTGAGCATGGAAGGTATACAGAAGGGTTTTATCAACACCATCTCATTCGTACATAATGACTATGAAGCACTGAGTGACATCAGTTTGGCAGTAGCCATCAAATCAATAGCCTTGAACTACATTTCACCATTTTAATATGTGAATAAGGCCATGGTTAACGCAAGACCACAACCATAAAATAGTTGGGTATTCAAACATTTAGTCTCCATTATGTCCTGTTTTAGTGTAAAACAATCAATTTAAAACTAAACTTGTATTTTGTGTTTTTCTGTTACTTGTCATGGATGAAATATGAATACACAGAAATGGACAGTAATGGCACGACGTAACACTGACAATGAGGTGTTACTTGAGTTTAGTAAATCAAGGAAACACTGGTATGTGTATGCTGTGATTTATATTTATCCTCATCAGGGTACCCTTCAGTGGGTATTCTAAAAAGATGGAATTTTCACCCAGTCACTGCACCAACCCAAGTTCGATTCACTTCTAAGGAAAGCTTCTGGCTTGGACAGGAGAACACAAGCTGATTGCTGGGAAACAAAACCTCCCTTCATTCACTCTCTCAGTGTAGCTTACAAAATCATCTGATATACTTTCTCTGAAGACCAAATGGAGATTCCAAGTACCGGGTATGTCTGTTGTAACAGTGAGGGTCTATGGTCACAAGTACTGACCATGCTGATTGTTGCTGTCATCCTCTGGTTTGCATGGACCAAACTCACAGGCCGTGCTCATACAGCTGGTGACTATAAAGCCACTAGCCATCACTCACATAATCGCTCATTCTCCTGTTGCTGTCAACAAAACAGAGCAGCTAATGTATCTGCAGATCAATTTAGTGCAAACTCATGTAGGCCAGTACAGTTGTTCCGAATTGTTTATTTACAAAGCTTGAAGAAAAATATACAGGTTAATGTAACAGATAAATACACTTGTGAGACTTGCAGTCAATCAAATATCGATACAAAATAAACTAGGAAACATTAGTCCAGATTTTGAGGTTTTCATCCAGTATGTGTAAAATGGTCTAATGAAAACTGTATTCTTCGTGAATTTTTTTTAATTTGGACATAAAACTAATTGATGTAACTGTGAAGTACCCAGACATCCTGATTTAAATTCTTTTTGTACCATTTTAATATGTCTGTAAAATAGTGTTAAAATAACATTTCAAAATTACAACTCGATACAATGTGATTTTTATTGCACAGACCCAAATCCTAAAGATATACAAAGACAATGATAATTCACAAAGACTTATTGTTTCATTATACATTTGTAGTATATCTGTGACCCTTCAATGTCATCTAAAGACAGTTATGTAACTCTGTCACAATACTGTGTGTCAATAGCAAATACTCACAACACTCAGGGCCTCCTTACGAACAAAGGCTCTCATTTATAATTATCATATCCAGAACCTCAAGGGTTGGGGCGTGTGTGCGTCATGCTGAACAGACAAATTAGTAATTATCTTCAGGCACTTACGTTTTGAATAATTTGAATCCAAGGTGCTACGACTGTCAGTTGGTCTGAATGTAGTCCCACATTTAGCCTCAAGAAACACAAAGGTTTTCTGTCACTGTTAGACAACCAGATATTTCTAACTCTTTGTTTCACAAGAGTTATAATTGTTTTACTTAGGTATGATTCCAATTTCTATTAACTTCTGTTAAATTCTATATCAGCTCATGATTTGAAAGTTAAATTCATTTCCCCATTGTTTGCCACATGTTTTCGAGTTATTTATACTTCACGTCAATCATTAGATGTATGTCAAAGTAGTTTTGGCTTGTGCTGAATCTTGGATAACTTGACAATCTTTATTTGGAAATGTGGTTTTGGCAGCTTCTGTGCATAGCAGTAGTTGAAAGTGGTTTAGGTATTATAAGTGGTTTAGGTATTATGTGTTAGGAATGTGTGCAGCTAAAAATGACTCAGAAGAGTATAGAATAATTCTGGACATAGACATGGGGTCCTGCCAGATGCTGAAGGAGAAGGAATAACTTATATGAGACTCACCTGTAAATTCATGTTTGTGTGTGATTTTCAGAGGCATCTGAAGCAAGTGAGATCATATGCCACTGCCAACCTCAGTTTGGTTATAGGCAGGGTTTTACACAGACATCTAAAAATGAGTCATGGTGACTCACAATATTTATTTTTGGGAGTCATTTTCAATATTTTGGAGTCATGAAAATTTTAATATTTCTTTGTGTTAATCATTCTCAGTATGTAACACTATGTCACACCACCTGAAACTACAGCACTGTTCAATTCAAACAGCCAGAATTACTGTCTCCTCTGAGTTCTCTGGAATAACCTGACATCTCTGTAAAAGTCAAACTATCATCGAACCATATCATTTTTTGCTTATTAAATCGATTTTATTGAACTGAATTGTGAGGGCCACTCATAAAACTTGCGTCAAGCTTGACTCGTATGATAATATTTTGAGAGTCGTTAACAAAATTGTTGCGTCAAATACGCAGGAATCACGTGTCATGTAAAACCCTGTATAGGTTATTGGCAGTTGTACATAACACAAAGTATAGGACTGAAGCTGAATCCACATGTGTGAGTATGTGATCTCACTTGGTCCCAAATGTCTCAGGAAATTACGACCAAACTTCACCTTACAGGTACATCTCACAGGATCAAACTAAAATATTAAAATGTGTGAAGAAAAACTAACACATGCAAACAGAAATTCAATCCATCAGAACAAATCTTTGAGAGAAAGTTGAAAATTAAATGGAGTTTGAAAAACAATTCCGAATCCTGTGCTACAAAAAGTAGTTCCATGGGGAAGGATGCTTGAATGATGCAAGTGAGCTTAAGACATACAAATACACACAGAAGTCTGCAGGTGTATGTTATTTATATGTGGGATAAAACATAGACCCTACAATGTGCTACAGTGTACCTTAACTTCAGAAAACTAGCACGTTGGTCAGACTAGCTTCAACCCTCAGACATGCATTTGACTGATATGCAGTTGTAAAAACATTCTAATAGGTCTCCTCTCATGATTCCTCTTACACAATGTACAGATTTACAAATAGCATTCACAGATGCATTCATAGGTGCATCAGATGGTCACTGTTTGGGTTGGTTTTGCTGAAACTGCACTGAGTAGGAACCACTTGATGGATCTTGTTGAAGGTTGAAATTGTCTGTAGACATCCCAAACGGTTTCAGAATCATGTTGCCCAAGTCTTTCAACTTTCCTGAAATGTTAAAACAGAAGAAATCTGAGACAGTAACATAAATCAGAGGTTGTTAAGATCTGCCAGCAACTGAATGAAGTCCTCCAAACTGGATACATTGTGCATGTATGTAGTATGCAGAAATAGTATTTTATGCTTATCCTGTTTTATACTGTTTGCTGTCTTCCTAAAGTTGAGATACAATGGAAACATTGTGTGTGATGGAAACAACACACACACACACACAGCCTCACATGTGACCAGGCAGCTAATTTTGTAGGGATATCATCTCGTTTTCGATCCGTAGGCCTTGATGGCGTCTAAAAAATAGTTTACGTGGTGAAATCTAACTTTGATTGAGGAGAGGGTGGTTCCGTCGTTACATCCCTTTCCTTTTACATGTATATAGTACTAGGGTAGGGTCTAGGTGCCTATATGTCTTTCTAACGCTGTTTCTAAGCGTGACATGCCCCTGTGCTTTAGGCTATGACTAAGGGTGAGTATAAAATTAATATTTTATTAAAAAATACACACGTTTCCTACTCCTGACTCATACTATTTGCTTGAATCTGTCGGCAGGTAGTGGGCAGCCACCTAATTTTGAATTCATGTACCATTCATACAACCCTTGAGAACTTCCAAACCTCTTGAATCTTGATGAAAAAGGGTACCACCTTCTTTTTGAGATAAAAAGAAGTAAATCATAATGATTTTCTGGATTTGTAGGACTTGCATAGTACATGTTAGTAGGTGGTACACTTAACTGATGCTTTGAATTACCCAGTAAAACAAGTGTTTTTAAAACCATGAATAGTGCATTAATAAGTGTACATTGGAACTGACAAACAGAAACATCAAACACCATGATTCCAATCAGTCACACAATTTAAATCATTCCTGTAAACATACCCAACATTTCTGTCTTCAGCTTTTCATTTCTCTCTTTTATTTGGTCAGCAAGTCTCTGAAAGAAAATAACAGAAAAAAACATGCTTACAAGCCACTACACAAGAACAGCGTCAACCACACAACATATTCCACATCACATTCTTCAGTATATAGCTTGAACATTATCAAGGGGTTGGTTTTAGAACATATCTAAATTCGTGACTCTTGGGCTTTTGACCTTGTCAAACAACAGCTGCACCATTATTGTTTGGGATTTTTGGACTTAGAAACACTGAGCAGCCAGACTTACAACAGCGGAATGTCTCGCAGCATGCTGGGAAGGATCCAACTCTACTGCTTTCTGAAAGTCTGCCAGAGCCTCATCTAGCTTATCTGTCCTCTCGTACAGCTCAGCTCTCCGCAGCAAAGCCTTCATGTAGTGGGGGTGCAGCTCCAAGGCTTTGCTGCAGCTCCTGATGGCATCTTTATTGTCATCCTTGAATCAGAGTAATCAACATTTATATAAGACCTACCTACAAACATTATAGTCGGACAAAAAGTGATTTTTGTAGTGAGTAAATGAATGGTATTTTAAACCAATACAATACTTAGTATGACAGCAGACTGAAACTGAGTAGTTCTTTATACCATGATCAGGCAATAAACTGGATTGGGAGACAATATAACTTCGAACTGAGACTGGGCGATATAAAAAGGAACCAAAACAACACAGAGTATGCTCAATTTGTTAAAAAAAACATTGTTGAAGACAAGTATCACTTTGTTCCTACACAATTACTTGTACTGTTTACCAACAACTATTTAGCAATGCATTTACACCATTTCTATGGTAAATGATATGTTGTGAATGTTCTCTCTCCGGATAACTTTGTAATGTAGAATGGGACTGTGGCCTACACTACAAAAGGAATAAAATATCTAACGTATTCGGTACAGAATACTTATCCTGCACTACATATTGCCTTTTATTCAGTTTCCTGTGAAAACATGACTGGAAACATCAAGAAACAGAAGTAAATACAGTATGTAATGCAAAAGTAAACGCTTATTTCGCTCTTTAACTACACTAATGAATGTTGTTTATCAGTATAAATCTACATATTTTGCAAAATATTTAATGGAATTCAAAGATTGAACCCGTAAACTGAAGAATTACCCATAGCCTTATGCTATCTCAAACTGCGCTCTTTCCCTTGTTCATCAACCTTGGAGGGGAAACTACAACAAATGTTTCTAGCCTCTTGTATCACCCTGCCCAAGCAAACTCCTGACCAATGTTGTAGCCTCAAGTATCACCCTGCCCAACTCCTGACCAATGTTGTTGGTAGCCTCAAGTATCACCCTGCCCAACTCCTGACCAATGTTGTGGGTAGCCCCTGCAAGTATCACCCTGCCCAACTCCTGACCAATGTTGTGGGTGCCCAACTCTGCTGACCCTGACCAATGTAGCCCAACTCCTGACCAATGTTGTACCACCCTGCCCAACTCTTGACCAATGTTGTGGGTAGCCTCAAGTATCACCCTGCCCAACTCCTGACCAATGTTGTAGCCTCAAGTATCACCCTGCCCAACTCCTGACCAATGTTGTGGGTAGCCTCAAGTATCACCCTGCCCAACTCCTGACCAATGTTGTTGGTAGCCACAAGAACTCAAAACATGTGTCTTGTCTTGGCTGGTCTTGTAGCCAGAGCCAACATTGTAATCTGTACAGTGGGATCGGTCAGGCAGTTGTCAATCAAGAGAAATATTTTTGATATTTTAAATATACAACTATTGTAAAATTTTCAATATTTTAAATGTATCTTATCTCCTGTTGTGCGGTTACCCCTCAGTTGAATAGAGGACTGACCATTAACCCCAGTGTGTAGGAGGACGTCTCAAAGGAGGCTGACTCAGAACTTTGATCACCTAATGAAGGCTGTCGACATAATTGAAGACATTGGGTGCAACGTTTTATGAGATTACCGGTACATAAGTTTGAAAAGTGGTCAAAGTGTCATGATGACCTTGAAAATAAGGTCAATGTCACCCAAATCGACTGGAGTCTGCGTAATCCCCCAGTGTAGGCTTTCATCCAATTTGAAGACATTGGGTACAACAGTTCATGAGATATTACGCTAACAAGAATCTGGACGCTGCTGAATACATAACGTTCTGCGTTGCGTCAGGGGACAACAACAAACATGAGGAGAACTTCAGTATGGAGTCACATGATCAGCGAAGCAGTATGCATGCTTTGCATGGACTTCTTGTGACTGCCTACAACAATAGCTGGGTCGGGAAACTATTGTCAAGGTTGTTTCCACTCCATCGTTGAAGAACATGGGCAAGTGCACAATGTGAGATAGAATAAGGATAAATTAATATTACCTTAATTGTTAATTCATCACAAATTGCAAACTCATACACTATTAGGCAGGACATATCTGAAAATTGTTTGAAACACAGCTTGTAAATAATCAAGTCAAGTCAATAAACAATATCTGGACTATCATTCACGTTACAAAATGCAACCTCTGCTTTAGGACTAGTATTGGATATGGCTGTAACGATACATTGAACTATCAATGGATTGCAATTGTTGAGCCTCCGATAGCAATTAATCGATGGTAGAAACAGAACAACTATTGATGTTTCCATAGCATGGATGACTATTGATAGTTTATTAAAGGTCACATGCAACCAAAAAATCAAACATAATTAAAACACAATTATCACTTCTTCATGACATATAATATGCATTGCTGATTATGAAAAAAACAAATAAACAAAATTATAAGCGTATAATCGCAAATCAAAAGTGCAATATTTTGTACTTGGGTTTACATCCCACGAAACTAAGCAGCCGGGATACCGAACCCAGTCAGAGCGGGTGGGTGTACACTCAAGTGTAACGGCTGGTTCATTAGCAGATGCCGTCTTCACGGCTCATTGTGTGTGTATATATAGAGATGTTGGGTTTTGTGAATACATGCTCATTTTTTGTGTATAACATTTTGCAATCAACAGACATCATAACATGTCATGTGTTCAAGTATCACACCTGCCTGTCTCTGTAATTACATAATGTGACAGAGACCGAACTCGGGCCATAAATCAATGCGTGTTGTTTATGGTATATAGCCTGATTGGTGTTAAGTTTAAATTGCATGTGGTCAGTGATCGCAGTTGTGTATTGAATATTGTCATTAGCAGACAGGCAGGCAGACACACAGGTGTCAATAAAACAAGACATTGAGTTTTGTCTGTGACAGCGACATATCTATATCACAGTTAGAAATTGTGTCAACGCTAAATAATGACATTGCTTTTAAGTATCGAACTGAGAAAGTGACTCGGTAAGAAGAACGTGTGGTGAAATAGACAAATGAAATTATATAAACAGTTTATTTACTGTCATAACATATAAAAAGCTCGCCCTGTGAGATATCAACAAAACATTATGAAAATAGCTCACACCAAAGCCTTCACCGAGTATTCACCAGACAGCCCGCTTCCAAGTTGCACGAACCTATTTCACTGCGCACGTGCTATGAGCGCAGCCCAGCTGTTGAAACCCGTACTCCCCAGAAAAGTCTGGGGAAAATTAGTGAAACGTTTGAAATCCGATTTCGCGCGGGTTTTTTCATCGCGTTATTTTTCAACTTTATAAGTTGAATTTGCATTTTTGACGATTTGTTTCGGTAAGTCCATACCGAAAGGTATCAGAATCTGCAAAGTTGTGTTTTACGTTGCATGTGACCTTTAAAATATTTCCAGCATTAAATACAGGAAGTACCAGATTTATTCACTCTGATTTAGAGTTCTCCACCCTGTTACCTCTTAAACAAGTAGTCTATTGCAATAGTTGGTCGCAATAGACTATCGCTATCGCAATAGTATGTTGCAATAGACTATCGCTATCGCAATAGTATGTTGCAATAGACTATTGCTATCGCAATAGTTGTTTCCCCCTCAATAGTCACCCCTAGTATTGGATACGTTTTACTTGACAAATATACCTAAGTATATTTACCAGTTTCATTTGACATGCTGCCTTGTTGGAGAACATGATTGACCTCTCTCTCAGGAAAGACAGGGGACAGATGTGTAGTGCCTCCGTGTACAGCCGAATGGCCTCCTTGTAGCTCCCCTCACGGAACGCCTGGTTCCCCTTCTCCTTCACCTCCTGGGCCTTGTTCTTTTGTTCCTGAGACATTAGAGAAAAGTAGGAACTGACAACAAATAGAACTGTTTACAACTAATTACACTTTCAAAAGAATCTGTGCTGTTACTGGATGTCATCTATCAGCCAATGTCACAATGTAAGTAGTGCAGCAGACTTCTGCTCTAATGATCATGCTGACGCAGCATACTTATAATGCATATCCCTGGGTGTGCAAGGTACTTTACTCAATTTGTATAATTAGAGAATGCAATATTTTCCATCTGATCAAACATTTGTGTTAGTTTCAGTCTGCACAAGCAAAATGGTTAAAATCAAATGGGAGACTGTAGTTACAATGAAAAAATGAAAATACTAATCATTACCAATTTCTCATCATCTGAAAGACTTTCTTCAACTTTCCTCCTGCATTCTTCATCATCAATTTCTTTCTTTTCCTTTTCTTCATCTAGTTCCTCCACTTCACTTCCATCACCCTGAGCACCTTCTGCATTTCCATCCCCAGAACCTCTCTCTCCACCCTCATGAACAGCAATGTTTTCCCCACCACAACACACATCATCAAATTCTACATCACTCCCATCATCTGCAGACATATATTCATCGTCACTTTCTATTCGCTGATCTGAAAGTCTATCAGAAATTTCTGCCACAGTTGCACCCCCTGTCCTTTTACACACTTCTCCACTCTCTTCAACGGGTGTTCCGATTCCATCCGAGTTCCCATGAATGTCAATAAATTCCTGTATTCTTTGATTATTTTGAGAGTTTGTGTCACCCTGCGCTAACAGATCCACAGAATCATCAGCCTCATCTTCACAGCACTGTTCTCCCTCCATCTCCACACACGAACCAGTCAGGGAGGTCTCTAAATCATCTCCTTTCTCTTTCGACATCCTATGAAATCTGTAATGGAAAGATTCTACAGTACATGGGAAATATAGAATGTAATATGTTTCTGTAAATTGATATCAGTGTTTGCCCAAGGCATAACAATGTAGGAATCATCATGACTCCCTGATGTCACGAGAGGGAGTCATGGACATGTCTTTGGGAGTCAACTTAAGTTTGGAACTTTCATCAAGACATCAACTGTGATTGTTTATTAATGACAAACAACAAGGTAAGGCAGGCCAAAACATCCTCGGTCAAAAAAACCCCTGTCATCTCAGTCATCACACAGAAACCGAAGTTCAGATTATCTGAACTAAGGGCCCAGTAGCATTGCATCAACAATGACAACGCTTCTAAATTCACTGCGTATTTGAGATAATTTGTGCGTCAAATATGCAGGTTTTCTGCATCATGGCAAACACAGTGATATTATCAATCTAAATATATATACAATGTGTGCTGCAGTAGTAATGGGGGGGTGGGGGGTGGGGGTGTACTGCCGCAGATACGGCTTAGAGGCTTATTTGTGGGAATAAAGCCTCCCAGCCCCCCTTAAAAAAATAGCAAGAACCATCCTTCGATGTGCAAGTTCAAATAAAAAATAGCAAAAGCCCTCTGTGGCCACAACCCACGGAGGGAGAAATTGGTGTTTTGACCAGAGACCCGCCTGGTCCTTGGTCTGATGATGTTTGTGGTGCGCTGGTATTTCTCCCGTGGGGTTGTGGTCGACTGAGAGCTTCTTGTCTTTTTTTTCCGAACGGTAGGCTTCGAACCTCGTTGACAGAGATGCGCAACTCTGCACCTTGATCGTACCCAGCAGTTGTTCGACTGAGCCACAGACGACCTGATAGCCGAGAGTGCTTTTTAACGGTGTATCCTGAGATTGCACCATCCTCTTAAACCGGGCTCCGTCTATAGTAGCGCAATGGATGTCTGAAACCCGTCATTCCACTTCCGCTTCAATACTTTGTGCACGTTTGGTGGCTTTTTCACCTCGAATCCATGTCTCATAAAATACAAACCACGATGCCCGTGTAGTTTGAAGAAGCGCTGAATCACGATACATTGGTTTGTGAGCAGCTGAAAAAAATTGCAGAGGCAACAATCCATTATTCATCTTGAGCTGGGGTCTGTCTATACTAGCTACAGTAGCGCAGAACCAGTCTTGCTCGCATCATGCACGTTTGGTGGCTTTTCACCTCGAATCAAGGTGTAATAAAATACAATCCCGATGCTCTTAGGTAGTCTAGACCCCGATGATGACGATGCATGCGTCGATGGACGCTGAAAACATGTTTAGAAACCACAATCGGTTAATTTCAAATCGGATTACATAAGCTCGCAAAGCGTATGAGCTATATATAGCTTGAATGCACCGTCCCTGACAGAGTGAGACTGCCGGTCTGAAGGGAACGGAATTTATTAATGGCATAAAATGGTTTGCCCCTTTCGGCTTCACCACGGAAAAAATCGTATACTTTAATCATCAACTGTTTCACGTCAGCATTCAACTTCATTTTTCATCAGGCATGTGTATCCCATGCACGACGAGATAGTGGCTGTTTCGTTTCTGCGGTTTCACCCCGCCGCGACAGATGACAACTTTTGCGTTTTCAATGATGATAGTTTCTTAAAGAACTTCTTTGGTGGAGTCCGGAAAATTTTCAAATATAAGAAAGTTGTTGGGTATTAGTAAATGATAAACATGTGTACTATTTATATCTATGTGGCAATTTTGTACAATGATTAAATTTGCAATTCATCGGTCCGTTTCTCAAATGGACTGTAGGTCATAATGACATCTACAAAGCAGTTTAACGTGCATCTTTTACGAGGTCTTTGTTCTTGGTCAGGAAGGCTTCAATGGTTTGTTGTCGGCTTGTTCTATGAGCTTTTTTTTCTCGTCTTCGCTGAAGTCGGCGGTTTTCCGAGTCTTGGTTCGAATCTCTTCCTTCATGCGGTGGTACTTGGCGAGTTTGGCTAAATTCAGGCGGAACTCTTCTTCGGAGATTTTACTGTTCGTGAGCGCAGATGAGACGCGATCGTCAATCGTGTTCAGCTTGGCCGGCCAGCACTTTCGGATTTAAATCGTGTTTAAGGCCTTCCATTGCAGACGACACGAAACGAGTTTAAGAGCTATTCCCGCCAGTCCCGATACTCCAGTGGCTACTTCTAACCCGATGACGATGGGTGCAGCCACGATGGTCGACAACAAGCCGATGACCCATGCCAGCGACCACGAGAGATGTGTCCACGCCGTCGATGGCATTGACGGCCTGATGGTACTTTTTGTGCAATCTGAGTGGCACGTCGCGTTCTCGTTCCAGTTGGCATTTGATGTTGCTGATCTGTCGCAAACAAAATCCATCCACGGTTTCGAGCGTTTGAGCCACGTCGTCCATGGCTGGATACAATCCCATCTTGAACTATATATATATATAGTTTACGAAATAATATTTAATTGGTCCTCCGTCAATCGTTGATGAATATACTTTAAGCTGATGAGGTACACGTGTTCAGGTGCATAAATCTGGTTGCGTAAAATTTCATCTCCAATAAAAACCTAGACTCCCTCGAGGCGTGTGGTGGAAGCTGTTCCTAGTTATAAATAAATATGACAGCGTTGATTTTTATGGCGATCGTGCCAGCATATGTTTAACCCAGGCAGAAGTCACACCGTTGTCCGGTGGCATTTCCAAGAACAACATCGATAATAAGGGTAGAACCTGGTATCACAGTGTCTACGAGTCTGGGACTTCACTATATCGTTTTAAATAGAGCCATTTCGTTGTGTCTTCCGAGTGAGGGACTAGCATATAACCCGTTTGATCTGGTAATGGTGGTGCGTACATTCCCTTTTTATGAAACGGAATAAAACTTCCCAGTAGAATCCCATTGCTTTTCCCATAGTTCGAGGATATTATGATCCTGATCCATGACGAGATAGGGGTAGGTCAGGACGATATTGATGATCCAGTTCAATTCGACGATGACTTCTCGACGTTGGTACACGTTGTTTTGTAAGTGCAGGACGTACAAGGCATTTTCCGTACCGGGTTCATCGAATCCTCGCGTGTCCCCGAGATCGGAGAAAGCGAGATGGTGAAAAGCTGCGGTGTCCGCGTTTGTCATGGTATATATTAGAGAAGAAATTTTAATTGGTTTTTGGATAATTTTTCGGCCATGCATTTCAAACCATCAGATGTATGTAATCGTGTAGGAAAATTTTCGTGAGCGATATAGTGTTTTCCACGATGACGTTGACTCCCTGATGACTGGTGAAGGCATCGATGCCAACCTGTACATAAACGGAGCAAACGTGGTATTGGTGTTGTTGGGTCCACTGGAGTTTGATGCCTTTGACGATTTAGACATTACCAACCAGTGTTTAGCCGAGTTAGACTTGGATGATCAATGTGGATTGCGCCGGCAGATTTTGCAGGATGTCGACCACGCTGTCGAATTCTGACACTAACTGCAATGTCGCGTTTGACGTCTCAGGCTCACTCGATAGGAAGTGAGCTGTGGGTTGCGACAGCGTGCTGACGACGACGCTGCGTCTTTGCGTCGGGACGTAAGCCACGATCAGCGTTCTATTGTTCACGACTTTCGTGAGGTGGTGGTCTTTGTTTTCCGTGAACAGGTGGGGAGACTCTTGCGCGATGTTGAGATTCCAGTCGATTTGAGAGGGTACAAACACCTATCGATGGTCTTTGGTAAAGACGGACGTGTACGGCGTGTTAGTGGCATTGCGAACAAGATTGTACTGTGTGTTTTTTAAGAGACCTCCGGCTCGACATCGTCTAAATCTCCTAGGTTACCCCCGCCCACTTCGACGCGTATGTTAATGTTGTTTTTGAGTTGCAAGGCATACAGTCTGCCATCGACGGGGGGCTCGTCGAAGCCGCGCGTGTCCCTGAGGTCGGAGATCGCTAGGTTGGCACATTTTCTCGGTCACATTCCCAGACCCGAAGCTTCAGTCATCGTTGTTTGATGTGCAGCGTCGCGCTGATGTATCTTATATGAATGGGTTTTATGTCTAAAACTGATAGTTTCAATTCCGTGATGTTGCCTCGAGTTAATTTCTTGTACAGCAAGGTCGAAAACGATTCTGTTCTGCCATCGTTGTACTTTTCCGTTTTCATCGTTTTTTTCGAGCCCGTGACGGTGTCTCGAGGTGCTGTCTCGTAAGTTGCCAACCCGAGTGTTCTCGCCAAGGGTCGACCTAGTTTGATGGGTTGGTCTCCGTTCGTCAACTTGAGCGTGCCATCCGACTCGTTGAGTATAAGACTGGCTCCGACGGGTTTAAAAATTTCATTGTCCAGCATACACACGCTATAATAACCGTCAGTCAACAGGTGGCGGCTATTATCGATACACAGCTTGTTGTTGTTTCTCTTAACGCTGATATTTGACCACCGCAGGTAGTAGGTGAGATCGCAGAGCGCGACCTCGAGTTCCCCCGACGTGTTATCGATCGCTTGCAGCAGTGGAACGGGTTCGCCGTTCGTGATTCCAGGGAGCGTGACGTATATAGTGAAAAAATATAAACGTAATTATAATAATTCAATATGGCTACACCCAATTACCAGCCTGGAGTCAATTATCCTTAAAGCGATAATTTAAGTGCTACTGTTCTCACGCACATGGAAATCGTGGTGGATGCGAAGGAGGGTTCCCATTTTCGAGCTCGATTATGGAAGTATGTTTTTGAAAAGTATAGGCTTTCGGTCACGAACGTCAAGACAGTCCACGCATGGTTTAACAACCCGATGCAATTCTGGCAGAATCAATTCAATTTCGCCGTGTGGTGTGCGACGACCAGGTGCGGAGTGACCTTGAACGACACTCGTCTTGATACGCTGAGTCGGTCCGTGTTCTATTTCCGCGTGTACTACCAAATCAGACGCATCCTGAAAGAAATCAACACCCCGATTCCGCAGGACAAGGCGTGGAACGCCACGAACAATCCGTACGATCGACGGGCTTACGAACGGATTTGCGACGATTTC